GCACCTAGCCGAGGAGGCGCGCGAGACAGGCGTAGAGAGCGAGAGAGAGAGAGAGAGAGAGAGAGAGAGAGAGAGAGAGAGAGAGAGAGAGAGCGAGAGAGAGAGAAAGAGAGAGAGAGACAGAGAGAGAGGAATGAGAGAGGGAGAGAGATGGATGCGGATGTGATCGTGGCGTAGATAGTTTGCTCGCAGTGTCTACGACTTCCGCGCGTCTGCGTTACGACCATGCACCGCCATATTGACGCCGTGGAATGTAGAGAGAAGCTCGCTGGCATCGATGTGCTGGCGTGGCGATGCCATTGATCGGCGCGGGTGTTCGTTCCATCGTGGATCGTATTACCGCGCAGCAAACACACAGACGCCGTAGCTAGGCGCGCGTGAGCGGGGAGGGTAGCAGATGATGCTGCTGCTGCTGCTGCTGTTTCTACTAAAGCCCGGCGCACACGTGAGTAATTTTACTCAAGTAAAATGACGCATGAGTCATTTTACTCACGTGTGCGGCAGATTTTCGTTGAGTAATTTGACGCATGCGTCATTTTACTCAATATCAAACGTGTTTGATAATTTTTGACTCATGCGTCATTTTACTTGAGTAACATTACTCACGTGTGCGCCGGGCTTAATGTTGCTGTTGCCGCTGATGCTATTGTCGTTGCTGTTGCCGCTGATGCTATTGTCGTTGCTGGTGTCGCTGCCTGCAGCTTCATAGCGCGAACAGCCCCGAGAGGGCGTACACTGCGTGGTTTCCGTGTTGTGAAGCCACTGCCTATACTACGGCTGCGCTAGTATATATATATATATATATATTTACCTAGTTACCATCAATCCCGCAGCTCTCTCTCTCTTTATCTCTTTCTGCTTGAAACAACTATACTCTTCACAACACCCGTCCACTCAGTCTCAGTCTGCGTAATATAATCGCACGCCGTATACTATATATTTTCCACGTGTACCAGCCAGTCTTACATGGCTTCGCAGTCACGTGACCGTTCTTACCCGTTGCACTAATACTTCCAGATAGACCTGGCATGTTCAGTTTAAATACTGTTGCTGTGCACCAGTAACTATGGAAATTTTGTTTGCTTTTGGCTAAATTGTTTGGTAACTTTCATACTGCGTTGATATTCTGCTACAACTCAATGACGTTGCATTTAAATTCTGGACATTTTGTCTCACGATAAGATTTCGATATCACACATTTGAACCAGTACCACGGTTAAATACCCATCCAAGTGTCGGCGACTACTTAATTTTTATTTTTATGCATGCTACCATGCATGTGGTGTTTATATCATTGCATATACACACATTCGTCACATTTGTTATCAAACTGCGTTTCATTTATCATAGAATTTTGCCCACGAATGAGTTGGAAATCAGGTTCATCACAATTTAGCAGTTTTGTATTACACAGAATACGCACTTCCAGAATACATCATGCTAACTTCGACAATATGTTACGACACAAGCAGCTCACACTAACAAATACTACCAAACGGTAGTGATACGCCAGTTTTACTAACTTACGCACGCAAGGCGCAGCGTCACAGAAAACCCCTACACCGAGCCAAACTGCATGCAGCGTCCCTTCGTACACTCAAGATACATGGAGCCCATGAGAGAGAGAGCGCCATCTGTCGTGGAGTTTGACACCGAGCATTAATATATAGCAGTAATAATCACTGATAACATGTCGATAAACAATCGATTTATTGATTTATTTAAATGTTTTACAGCAGAACACGATTGAGCGCGCTCAGTCGATTAAAACGCGGTGCCGTGAAATAACGCGTGAAATAACAACCTCACTAACACGGACGTGACTCTGCCGCATAACACCGGGAATGCAAACACAATGTTAGGAATGCTACCCTTTTAGGACCGATACCATACACGTTACAGAAATACACACACGAGCACGCACGCACACACGCACGCACGCCCACACACACACACACACACACGCGCGCGCGCACGCACGCACGTACGTACGCACACACGCACGCCCAGACATCGTACATGGATACAAAATTGGGCGCACTATGTAGGTGGCATGTCCACCTTTCATTCCCCTCTTGACCGCCTGTCTATGGCTCTTTTGACGTATAAATATACGTAGCAACACAACAGTCTGCTTCCCCACAAGGTTCTCGTATTTCTCCAATGCAAGGGTGCCTGTATCGCTTTCCCTGTCTTTACCACTGCACCATTCTTTCTCCTTCTCGTCCTTGCTTCAATGAACCACTCACTACCCACTTCCATCGACCTGTCTCTTCCCACCCCACCACCCATTTCTCGTCTCACTCGATCTTCGCTCTCTCTTTCTCTCTCTCTCTCTCTCTCTCGCACTCGCCCTTTCACTCTCTTTCTCGCTCTCTCGCTCTTGCTCCCGCTCTCTCGCAAACCATCTTTCTCTCTTTCCTCCTTCCCTCCACCATCCTCCCGCCCTCTCTTCCATCGGAGCAGGCCACATCGTACTTCTCAACAACTGCGTCTGTTCATACCCTTAACGTGACTGCCAAGCTTTCATGTCTCCCAGTCACCACTTTCCTCAGGCCAGGTGACGCTCCATACTATTCACATAATCATTTGGCTTGCTTTACTATGCAAACACAGGGTAATCACATTGCAGTTTCTAACTGGGTGGAAAACTAAGGTTTTGGTGTAACTTAGTTTTAAGTTAGTTCATACATTGTTTACGATCGTCAGTCTATCTTTTACGAGAATGCCACATAGATTAATCACTAGGTTACTAATCAAAAACTTAAAATATCATAGCGATGTTTGACATAGGGCGATGTGCTCACATCCATTCTCCTTTGTAACACACAACATTTTTGTCAGTCTCGTGAATTTTAATTTTGTACAGAGTGTTGGGTGGTAGCAACTTCTCCAGGCCCTTCCAGATATATACTGCTACATTTTCCGTCGTGCTGTAACATAAAATCGCATCACTCATTTAAGAAACTTCATTCTGTCTATCTACGATCTACACCCAATTCAACTCATTTATCTCTAAAGCAATTACATCATTCATTGGCATTTAGTAATTTAGTATGATATGTTATCCACGTACTAAATGAATTCAAGGAACTTTAATTATTGTGTGCCACGTTGATAAATTCCATACGAGATGATACCTTACTATGTCTTTGAAATAAGGAACATCCTTGTCAATATTCTTATGATCTAGTGTTGCCATCACAGCCTCCTGCAATATATTATGACAGCACACCTTACCAAACGCAAAACGATGACAGAATAAATTTCTCAAAGAAAATTAAACTTCATACATGTTTTTTTTATCATTTTGTCTCTAATTTCAGAACACAAGGCCCTCAACAATTGTATTGCTTCGGTTTCATTAACAGGTTTTGTCCAGCAAGGCTACTTGATGTTATGCATATGAGCCCGGGGAGGGGGGCACTCCATATATATTGCATGGTATGTATGTGCCGCGGGAGAGACCCCCCTTTTTCACCATAAACTTCCATTCCAGTGCATCGCATTTTTAAGAATATCTCGTTCCAGAGCATCACAAGTTGAGTTACCATGCAGATCTTGCCTTTTTCCCGTTCCGGAGAACCTAGTTTTTAACATTTCCGTGCTGCTGTTCTTGTTTATTTACATCCGATGATGAACTCAGTGCGTGTGTTTTATTGCCGATGTGGAATATGTGCGTATTGCGTATGTGCGCACCCCAATTTTCGAACATAGCCAGTTCCAGAGCATCCCACATTCAACAAACATTAGTTCCAGAGACCCCCATTTTCAGGTCTGAATTAGTTCCAGGGCCCCCCATTTTTGACTTCGCAGTGGCACATACCTACCATAATGTAGGGTGAGTGCCCCCCCCCCCGGGCATATGAGGTTGGTAGCATTATGCTGATGACATAAACCCATTTCTACAGTAGCTGTCAGTTGAATCAAAATGAGACAGAGTGATTTCTTGCTCAAGGGCACAGCAGCAGTGACCACAGTGGGGCTGGAACGCCTGACATCCAAAACTTTAACAAGTGTGACATTCGCTATACTATTACTGCATCCAGACCTGTGTACTCTTTTGTATTTCCCCTACTTCCTGACATTTAAAAGATTGTATCTACGTTCAATATCAATAAAAAAACCACACAATTCCCTGTGGGAATAACAATACCATCTCAATTTGTTTGCATTACTATTTATCATATTGCAATAATATTAGAATTGCATTACTACATTCACACCTGGATATAAATCTTCAGATCCACAATGTTCATTACCATTCCTGTTACAGGGTCTACCTAAAATTGTACAATAATTATAAATTGCAACTATAAATGTAAAGAGAACTGTATCAGCATATTATTCGTACAATATCACAACAAACAGAGCTGAGCTATCATGAAGACTTTATTTCACTGGCTTTGATAGCATAAGAGATAAGCACATGTATATATATATATAAACATTTATTATGATAATATAAAAAGTAAACATATACGAAGTTAAATCCATTTTTGAAATATACTTATATTGGTGGATTATTTCTGCACCTACCTTTCCTTTAACAGTTACCTCAACTAGAAAATGAAACAGATAATAATGTTAAAAAGAGGAAGACAGAGAACATATAGACACACCAACGTTCTGGATTTCAAAAATAGTTTCTGTAACACACTTGTTCTAAGATTCATTCAGTAAAAAAGTCCAACAAAAATACTAAGTAAGACCCCCAGCCAGTGGCGTAGACAGGTCCTCAGTTGTGGGGGGGGGGGATGATTTCGCTGTTACTTTACTTCCATAGCAAAGTATGGAAAGACCTGAACCTAAACTGACTTAAATGACCATTTCCATTTTTGCCAAAAAGTGGGCGTGGCTCGAAAGTAGGTCGACTGGTGTGCTTCAAATACGGCATTCAAATCTCTCCCATAGGAGTAACAACTGTATGCAATTTAAAACATGTGGGTCAATCGGTTCTTGAGTTATCATTGACCGTAGGCAGTCACTGAAATGCATAGTGAAATTGCCAAAATCTACCTAATTTGCATAATTTAAAAGAAATATCAAAACCTGTGTGATATGTTTCGGGGTCAGTCCTTATTCATCACAACCAAAAATGAGCAAAATCCGTTGAACCTGAACTGACTTATGACCATTTCCATTTTTGCCAAAAAGTGGGCGTGGCTCGATAGTAAGTCAACTGGCGTGCCCAAAATAGGACGTTCACATCTCTCCCATAGGAGTAACAACTGCATGCAATTTGAAACGTGCGTCAAACAGTTCTCAAGTTATCGTTGACCGTAGCCAAATGTTGACGGACAGACGGACGTACGTATGATGGACAACGCCCCATGGCAATAGCTCATCTCGACGACGTCAAGGCGAGTTAAAAAGTGAGAAAAACAACCAGATTTGAACCAAAAAGTGCATATTTTCACTCCTTATACAAAATCAGGAATATACTTCCGGTCAGGTCTCAGCACCCCCCAAAAAAGTGTGATGAAATTGAATTAAGAATTGAATAATAAACCAAGGATTTAACTTTCGTGAGCAGTGATAAAACGTGATTTGGGGATTTTGTAAAAAAATCGTATATGGGGAATGCGTCCAAAATTAACCGTCCGAGTTTCAGTAAAATAATGTCATTCTTGGAACGAGTTACAGACATTTTAAAGTAGATGTATGTCACTTTCCATTTGTGTAATAATACATTAGGAGAGTATGAATAGCGATGACAGATTTGTAGATAAATGTTCAGTATTTATTGTCTGTAAAATATGAAATTTTTCCCCATTTCCCTCCTGAAAGTAGGGGGATGATTGTACACGCCATCCCCCACCTCAATAAGTGGGGGGATGTATCCCCCCCTGCTATCTACGCCCCTGCCTCCAGCAATAAAAGGAGCTATAGGTAGCTCTACCTATTTGACTTTCATTCTGCCACAGTTTCACGTGGCAGAGCAATAAACAGCTACATATTTAAAGCTAAACTTAAAACTATCATTTTCTTGACACAGTCTGCCCCAATACATAACATTAATCATATCACTAGATGTAAAAAAGTATTTGGTATCCAAAATTGGTTTATGGTGGCTATATATATAATCAGAGGTTTAGCTAAGCTACATACCTTTATAATTATGGCCATGGCCATTTGGATTGTTGCATTTTCCGAATATATCCTGATTATCTTTCTCACCGAGTTGTGAGCTAAAATTGACACATGGTAAATGAAAATGATACATTAGAGTATATAAGATTGGTTAAAAAGGATTGGCATAGCCACTAATATGCTAGCTGATGAAATGATTGGTACCGTTTGGTTCAGATCTAATGGTTCACTCTGCAACAGGTTTCAGCTATTTGCTTTATTTCTGTCTTATGGCAGGCCAAAGGGCTAGCAGTATAAAGTTATGTTAGGTCGTGTAGGATCGTTTTCATTGCATCATTGCCTACAAAGTGCCCTGCCATGCTGCAAAGATAAAATTATACTGTGTAACCTTGTTGCGGTTTAAAGAGCTGCACACGGGTAGATATATAGTGTGATAAGCATCATAACTGACAATGTGGCACAAACTTAGCTTAGCACTCCGGATTTAAAACCCATTTTTCTCCAATAGATGGTGCCACTGCACCTATATACGCAGAGTTCTAACAAATATAGCAAAAATATGTGAGTAGCCTGGTTTCAATGACATTTTCCCTACTTCATGCAAACAAAGAATATATTTTCTCATAGATATGAATTGGCAAGACCTTGAAAAAGAACCTTGTAGCTTGTCATGATTATACTCCCACATTTGAGAAAATAAGGCCTGGGCCCCTCCTGGGGTCCCAAACTAGGACTGCCCGAACGAGGCCCGTACCCAAAAGCACTTGGAATGTAACTTGTAAGGCGTGTTGACAGCGCACAGCGTCGAGCACGAGGTTTACTTGTGTGTTGCAGATGAGCATTTGAACGGCATTTACAAGAAATTATCAGTAATAATACGCGAATGAGAGTAGAGAAATATTAAGACTGGTACTAGTCAATACATTTCGTGTACATTTACCATAATTTTATTCTTGAAACGTTCCAAGTGCCTGTGCCCTACACCTGCCAGGCTCTACGTAGTGAGAAGCGAGTCGCCACATAGTGAGAAGCGAGAAGGTAACTAGTAGTAGTAGTAGTAGTACTAGTACTAGTAGTAGTGGCTACCTGAGATCAAGGATAGTTTGAGACCACGCAAATGTGTTTTTCTGCATATGTGCTAAACGAATCCGGGGTGCTAAACTCAATAGTAAACTGGGCTGGGGCCGGCTACCTGTGCCCGGGTAGTATACCTGGCTGAACCCAATAACCCATACGGCCATGATAGTTGATACTAAGTAATAGTAGCTCTAGTACTATAGCACGCGTACATTGACTGCCGCAGGCCGCATGACCATACCAGATTTCAATGCTTGGTATCCCGCCGGGATAGTAAAAAAAAAGAAGTCAAAATCGGGATAGTGGTTGTTGAGTTATCAACTTTATAAGGCAGCGCATCTGAACGAGTGCGCGCGATCTGAGCGAGCGCAGGCCACTCTAGCGTTATACAGCAGGCATAGCATATTTGCAAGCGCCAGCGTAAATATGATGTGTATACATTGTATCAAGCGAACCAGACATTGAGACAATGCTTCTAGACAATACGTCTGCAGTGTGAGTGTACTGTAGAGGCGTATGTAAAATGAATGCGAGCGATGTGTTTCGAAGGCAAACAATTGTTAAAATTACTATCCAAAAAATGGAATACCAGATCTTTGGGGGGGGGATACCAGATTAAGAGATTTCAATACCTGGTATCCCGAATGGATACTAGTAGTGTGGAGATTTCGGGGGTGTATAACTTACAGGAGTAGTAGACTAGATCGGGATGCATGGACAGACCGAACTCACCGTATGGATATAATAACCATATATACAAGAGCTAATAATACCTAGAGTGTACAACGGAAAAACGGGAAAATAGTGCTATTTCACGACTACATTATTCTACTTTGCCTGCGAGTCTAGAATAATTTCATGG